GGGGGGGGGGGGGGGGAAGGGGGGACATTTGCTATGAAGTCATTGTTTGTTTTTTTAAGTAACTGCATAGCTTTTAACAGACATGTAATTTCTGTCTAGTCTAAAACCAGCAGACACAAACCCCAAAATTCTTCCATCTGCATTTGCAGTTAAAGATGAACATGCAATCTATTGATCCATATAGGGACGATGTTCCTTCCACTTTCTAACGATGGACCACTTTGACGTTTATGGTTTTAGTCTTCCAAAATTTTAAAGTCTTAGGGGTATGAATACCTTCATCAGGGTTTGAAAATGCAACACATTCACCCTGAGGTTTTCTCTGCTACATTTTTCCTCAAGCCTGACATTATCTTGCAGAAAGTGACTGCAGCGGGTTTCAGAGAGACTACAGTTTATCTACTGACCAATCAATCAGTGGCACTCAGCTTGTGGGGAGGTCTGCTGTATTCGACAAGACTCGAGTCAGACAGTCAATACAATGACCTTCATCCAAACAAAAGATTAGCCGAATCTGATAGACACACTAGGCATTCTGGTAGACTCAAAGAAAAACAAGTGGAGCCAAAGAAGAAATCAAAGCTACCAACAGCTTTTCTGTTTTTTCTGTCTGTAAATGAAAGTGAGGTTTAACAATCTTCACCAGACATGGCAATGTAATGTAAAAATAATTTGTATTTTAGAATTTTAAAAAACTATAATTCTTATTACTTGTGATAAAACTATGCCATTCTTGGATATCTGTAGGTTATTTCACCAAATATCATTCATGACAAAATCCAGAACAAGAGATGAAGACGATTTGGGTAGGAAAACATTAGAATTATGCATTATAAACTTTATTTATGCCAACTTATGAAATGTAAGCGGAAAAAAGTAAATATGTTGTTACAATTAAAAACTTGAAGATGAATAAAAATATAACTGAAAAGTTAATTTAGTTCAGCAACTCCGTTCAAAAACGTGAAACTCATAAATGCAGCATAATTTTAGACGGTGAATTTGGATGGATAAAGCCTACAGCTAATGAAAACCTGAAAAATTACGGTTCTCGAAGTCTGGAGGAAGAAATGAAAACGAGAGACACCAGACCCATCGATACAGACGAGTTGAAGGTCACTATCAGAGTCTCCTGGACTTCCTTAATATCCCAGCAGAGGCACAGGATGAACACCTTGATGCTGACGTACATCGTTGCACTAATAAAAAAACAGCTAAATCCATCCACATGTTAGGTGCATATACTCAGTAGGCCAACATTTCTTTATCAAAAAATTACATTTTATAATAAACAATTTTTGAAGGTTTTCATTACCGGCAAGCTATAGCAACCAGATTTAACTGAATTTCTAATAATTTGTGTAATAAAAGTTCCACTTTTTGAGTTGAATTATTCAAATAAATTCACTTTCCAATGATAATCCAATCGCTGCACCTGGATAACATAACAAACATCCATAAACAACTGCACAATGCAGTTTAAGTAAAGTCATAAAACAGTATATATGGACAAACAACTTTGAATTATGCAGCCAAACCTGTAGTTTGGCACTGTGCCATAAAGAACAGACAACAAATAAAATTAAGATTCTTCAGCAAACGTGTTGAGGTGAACTGAGATTGAAGATCAAAGTCACTGATTATTTCTTCTTCTTGCCTTTCTTGGATGAAGGAGGGGGTGGAGGCGGCACCTCAGCCTCCTCCTGAGCTGGTTTCTCTTCGTGCTCCTTTACCCACGTTATCAGACGGTTGCAAAATTCTTTGTAATCCTCGGATAATTTCTCACTGGTCTCCTACACGCAAAACGAAAGCAGAGAGAAACAAATGACGTCAAACCAGTGTCAGAGTTAGCAAACTTAGCTCATTGTTTTTTTGTTTTTCCAAACAATTACAGACGACGCTTTCATTAGTTTCACTGACCAGCACTTTCTCATACGTCTCGACGTGACACTTCTTCAGCTGATATTGTTCCATCATGTGCTGCATGTAGCGCTCCATCATGCTTTCACGGGTCACCCGGTAGCTGTGGATCTTTTCGTAGAGCTTCTCCTCCCTCTCCTCCTCTCCCCGCGAGTCCAATAGCTCTGGAAAATCTTTCTGCTGTCTGCATCCAAACACAAAGCCTTGTTAAACACATTTGCAAGCACGTATGTGTGCATCACAATTTACAGTCGCGTTAACGTTTCAACATCTTTCGGAGAGGTCTCCTTCCAGAATGGACACTCATGAGTAAGTAGCACATTTTGGATCAAATTTATTCATTAACAGTGCACGGCAAAACCTTTTCTATTGTAGCATTGTCCAACTCCAGAGGCTTCATGTCAGAGATTGATCTGTCTAAGAAAGCTCAAATTGTACAATTGTTTTCTCTATATCATGGGTCAAACTCGAGGTCCGGAGACCAAATCCAACACGTCTGGAGTTTTATATGTGGCTCTGTAGATGCAATCAAGGCTGTGCACTTTATGTCCATGTGGTACGGACATCAAGTCACCATTTTCTATTTTGACATATCAAAAATTATTTTATATGCATCTAATCCTGGAATCATGAAGCGTTAAAATATGTTTTGCTTTTGCTTTGTATAGTGCATGCTATTTGGATCAAGATTGTGGAACTTTCAGAGAATAAAAAGACTTTGAAGTTATCCATCGATTTTCTTTACACCCTTGTCCCTCAGTGGGGTCGGGAGGGGTGCTGGTACCTATCTCCAGCTAACGTTCCGGGCAAAAGGTGGGGGTACACCCTGGACAGGTTGCCAGTCTGTCGCAGGGCAACACAGAGACAAACAACCATGCACACACACTCCCACCTGGGAGCAATTTGGAGAGGCCAATTAACCCGACATGTTTTTGGACTGTGGGAGGAAACCGGAGTACCCGGAGAAAACCCATGCATGCACAGGGAGAACATGTAAACTCCATGCAGAAAGACCAGGTACTCGAACCCAGAATCGAACCCAGAACCTTCTTGCTGCAAGGCAACAGCTCTACCAACTGCAGCCCACTGTGCAGCCCTGACTCTGAAGTTATTTTTTTTTTATTTATTCATTTATTTTTGCATGATTAAAGATCAATTGACCAGCTGTGAATAACAATCCTATGAGTCTATGGGAAATTTAGTGGAACTGCCACCAATTGGAGCTGCTCCAGGCATTCACCATGCAAAGGTCAGTGCATTTTCATTAGTGCAGGCACAGTGTCTGAATAGTGGGTCATTGTTGCCATATTTAAGTGTCATTCGGGTAATTTCTGTTGCATCAGCGTGTGACTGATATGTCTCGTATAGTGTCTCAAGGTTCAGGTGTCGAATTTTTAAAGTCATTAAAGGAAACAAAAGCCAGTTTTAGCTGGACTGAAATGGTTATCGAAATGTGTGTTTTTAATTTTGTGCAGTGCAACAAAAAGTGCAAACATTAACAAAACTTCCAGTTGCACTAAGCTCCATGCAATTTAGAGTTGCAAAGCAAGGGGGATAGGAAGTCTTCTATTGGTAGGCAGATATGCAGCTGAGTTACATTAGCATATTTATAGATCCTTATTTACAGAATGTGGAAAAGGTGTGGAATCATATATCCATCTGCGAATAAGAAGTGACAAGGAGCATTAATATGAAAGGGACAGACTGAAGATTTGAAAGGGGAAAAAAATAAGTGCAAATTAGCTAATTATACAGACAGCTGTGGTTGACGGCTTTTCTGTCACAATAGTGTGTTCAGGGAGGAAAAAAGTGCAAGTAAGATCACAGGAGCAACACTGTGAATTTCAAAGATTTACTAAGGACAATGCATACAGGTAGACCCAGACAGGGCAGCAGAAAAGAAAAAGAGACATTAAACACACAGGAAGTGTGTTTAGAGACGTGGAAACCAGTTATTATCAGGGAGATGCCGAACAGCTGAGGAAGATGCTGAGCAGGGAACTGAGGGAAGGTGGTGCTAAATCACAGAATCAAAACAACAGGAGAAAAGAAAAACACAGACACACACAGACACACACACACACACACACACACACCAACAAATCATTATATCTATGATTTAGTGGCTGACTTACAGTTGTGAAAAATTAGGAAACCCAATTAAAGTTATGGAGGTAAATAAAATAAAAAAATACTTGTGAGAAAAAGTTAGAACACAATACTCACTAGTAGCTGGGTACATAAAATTAAACCATGTCTTTTTAAATACAGAGATGTACAGCAAAAGCAATATATGGTCGGCTTTTAGCAATACATGGGCTGCATTTTACTTGATTTAATTTACTTTGAATTGTTCAAATTACTAAAATAACAGAACATCTTAATGGCTTCAGTTACATCCTAGTATCGTCACATCAAATTTATTGAGCGCTCTATACATGTTTTCCCAGTGCAAATGGCTATTTTTGCCTGAGGGGAGGAGAAAGTCAGCAAAGGTTAACACACAGTTAATGAGCAATAGCCTTCTTGTATCTTTGTTACTGTGTGAGAAATTGTGCAAGTCAGAATAAGTGCAACACACCGTCCTGTTGCACAAATATGTAAGAAACTAGTGAACCGCTGGTTTCAACCGGTGCCTCCGACAGACCATTGCTTTGGATCATTATCTTTTCTAAAATTGCTGGATAAGGTGTCTGCAGTCATACATGCCTGGACATAGTAACACACACATGCAAGTGTCACAAGAGGATACGAAAGGTGACATAACAAAAGGCCACATCTCTTCGGAGTAACGAACTCGTTGGGGCTCGGAAATAGCTCTCTAATTAACAGACCCAAATATTATCTCATTTGTCCTGCAGCGGGATGGACAATGGGAGAGGAGGAGAGAGGGAATAAAAGAAGGCATGTGGGAGATCCAGCGGGAACTCAGGTGAAGACTTTAAAAATACTGACAATGACTAACGGCAATATTCATCTAATTTAAGGTGTTATTTAAAGGTTGAGACTAACCACACAGTCGTAAATATGGAAAGGCAGCAAAGCTAGGACCAAGCTGTGTGAACAGCCACCACTCTTTAGTTGATTCATAAACAATTATTCAAAACTTGCCCTCTGGACAGGATGCACTGCCCTTTCAAGATGTGGAAAAGTCAAGGGACATCTTTCTTCACTGCACTAATAAGAGCTAAGTTCACTTAAGGGAAATTACTCCAAAAGTTTTTCGGGTAGCTTTTTAAATCCACTCTGTGGTCACAAAAATGCATGTTTCTACAATGCATTATGTAACCTGAAACATCAGTGTTCAAACACAAAATATCCCCTCTGTGAAATTAAGTAGCAAAAAAAGAGCGAAAGCAGACCTGAACAAATGACTGAACTTTGTGTACAGATCTGGCATGGCTGGGCTGGTCACTTCACTGCTGGTTGTACTGGGCTGGGTAACATGATCAGAGCTGAGTGGATCTGCAAATGATGAAATTATTGTATTTAAAAAGATAAAAGACAGAAAAAAAGCTAAATGCATGATTTTAAGTCTTTGTAGAATAATACCATGGGCCTGGGTTTCAGGTGGAATATGATGACCACCTTCCAGTTGCTTAATTTGTTTGAGGAACTGGAGGCGGGACTGAGAAGCCTACGACAACAGAACAAGATCATGTATGTATGAGCAAATAATGCATCAAAATGTATTTTCATTTGTGGTAGGGATTAAACTACCACTGGATTTGAAATCTCTCTCTGGGTTAACTGGGCTACCTTTTCAAAACGCCCTGGATCAGTCATTTCCCAGGCTTTTTTCATGGATTTAATCTGGTCAATTCTCTCTGTATCTCTCTTTACTTCAATACACTCCGGGTTGGTGTGGTCAGCGGCGACACGCAGTGTGTAATTTGCCTTAGTCAGGTCCAGGTTCTGTGCAGAGGCGCACACACACATAAACAAGATGATAAAAGATCATGCTCACCTCAACAAGCACAAGCTGAAGGTCGTTGTTCTGCTACTTGTGATGCTTTTTAAAGTAGAAATTCATTCTGGTTATATTACTAATAATTAAGTTGGACAGTAACAGTTGCCAGACGACCTTCTTCTACCTCGCAGACTTAAAATGAATAAATATGATCTGGCCTGCATTGCGCCTGTTTTGTTAGCTTACCGTCTTCTGTCACTGTACTTTTGTGATACATTACCGATTCTTGCTTGGAAACAGCGATGGAGACAGTAGACCTTCCTCTGTGCCTCTCAGCTTCAACTTTTCGGCTCATTTTTGGTGTTTCAGTCTTGGTACCGTTGTGGCCTGGTGTGCCGATTCTGGACAAAGACTTAGCATCTCCAGGCTTGAACACTGAATGTTAAAGATAGTAGGAAAACATTGTTTTATTTTATTTTTTATTTTGCCTCATGTCATTTGAACATGATCTTAAATACAAACAGTTCAAGAAAATGCTTCAGGACTTCAGAAAATAGAAATATTTTACAACATGCTGAGCTGGTTTGCAAACCCTTTTAATTCAGTGTTAGACTGTTATTTTTACATTCTGCAAATTTTACTTGATCTTTTTCAATTAGATATTCTAAGATGAAAAAAAGCAGCAGCATTTAAAAAGAAGTCATGTCCATGTCCAAATAAAAATTGTTTTTCAGCCTTGTTTAAACAAGTAATGGAGATTGACTAAGTGTGGCAAGAAGTGCATGTGTTGTGCAGTCATATGTATGCTAGATGGCACTGTTGCACTTCAAAAGCTAAAACCAACAGACTTCTAAGTGTCAATGCAGTGAATCCTAGTATTGTAACATCATTTAGCTAACTTCTTGCCATTCTCTCTGAAGCACTTTGATAGATTCCCCTATGGATGCAGAAACTTGCTGTTCTTATTGTATCTAAATATATATGTGCATTGTTGCAAAAATAAATATAACATTGGGTTTGTTAAAACATTAGTTTTAGCTAAAATTATGTTTTCATGGTAAAAATTCCATAGTCCTCACAACAAATAAGTGTTGGTGGATAACTGCTTTAATGGAGAAATAAAGAATATATAGTTGACCTATAATACCATGCATATGCCAAAACACTTGCAGTGCAGTGTTTTAATTGCATCATGTTAGACAACTTGTAAATTAGGCTTAAAAGCTTGGCATGGCATGCACTGCATGTGTATTTGCGTAGCATGATGGGAGCATGATCAAGGGCACTGTCCCACCACTGAGAGAGTTAAACTGGGTGAAATTAATCCAGTCTTCTGCTTGGATATTTCCCTGGGCACCAGGGGGCAAGAGCCAACTTCATTTGACATCCCATTGACCCATTTCTACAAAATTATCTGAAGAACACAGGAGGTTTTTGAGGACTGACCCCTCCACAGACATACGAACAAAAGCAGCGACAACATGCTTAACATTCTTGATAGGATGGATAATAATAGTGACATTGTGTCCAATCATTTAGCAATTTAAATCAAAGAACCAAGAAATTGTGATGATACATTTTAAGTTGGGTTGATATTAGTTTTGGGGTATGAATTTCTTATACATAAAAAAATATTTTATATTTTATAAGGGATATAATATTGCAATATGCTATCATATTTTGCTTATTTTGAGACAAAATAGCTGAGTTAAGAGGTGGTACAAATGCATTCATTTGATCTAACCCTAACACCCATCCATTGTCTAAATGAGTGAAATCAGATGTCTGCACAGACTTTAGGAAACTACTATCTTTCCCACCTTACATTTTATCTGACATTTATTCAGACAAAACTTGTCAAGCTTTACATTTGTTAGGTTATGAAACTATTACTTCTCCTGTTTGCTAATGCATTAAGGGACAGAGACCATAAAAACAGCCTACAAACCTAATGTAGTTACACCTGATCTGGGAGGAAATGTGAGCAAAAAATTCTAGCAAACAATTGTGTAAACCATGTGGGACAATACCCCAAATTTCTGACTTCAAACAATTTAAAGGCAATTCTACTAAAATCAAACAAAATTTATGTAAATGTATAACTTTAAAGGGGTATTTTTTTTTCTGTATTTACCAAGACGGCATAATTATTCTAGAATAATTTCTAACATACCTAAAAAAAAAAGTGTGTATCTTATTAAGTGTATGTGAATATCTCATTTCAACTGTAATAGAAGCAAAATTGTTAAGAGTAACAAAAGCAGTTAGGATTCAATGACAACAAATTGGCCTTTTTCTACAGACAATCATGCATACTCTTCCCATGCTGATCTGTTTGACAGCAACACAGCTGCAGTCAATGAATTTTCTTCAAACTGTTCAAAGGGTTCTATAAAATTTAAATCAATTTCTTTTTTTTTTATTTTTCTTTCTTTCCAACTGATCTGATCTAATGGTTAAAATTAGAAACCCAGAGCCAAGAAACTAAGATTGCTTCAACAGTCAATAATAAATGGGCTAAGCAGATATCTCTTTGATTTGCTGTGTTCATCTGGTTTGCATTAGACTTGCAATTACCGGCTTCTGGCCACTGGAAGCCTGGAAATGCCTAAGCTCCAACACTGCTTCTTGAGTATCAATAACACTTCAAAACAAAGAATGAGATGTACAAGAGCAATGATGATGAGAAAAAACAAAACAAAAAAACATTTAGAACCCGAGGCCTAAATGCTGCAAAGACAAAAGGAAAACGGTTTGATTGCCTATTATAGGCATACATGTATCAGTGGGGTAGATGAGTCATGTGGAATGCATACCAAGAGCTGCGAGTTCAGATCAAGATTCACTTGAGTGACTTGCTCTTCTAGCTTTCCTAGGGGCTATTGAGAATAGCTGTTTGTTGTGGCATCTATGTAGTTTTATATGGTACGTACCTCTGATTTCATTCTTCTTCATTTCTTGTAGCATATGGACAAAATCCAGCTGGGTTTCATCCAAATGCCAGCTCTTACAGAGCATCTCTGCTTGCACCACATACTTATGGTCCTGGGAAACACAAATAAGCAAAGATTCATGTAAAAATGTAGCAATGCAATATATATAAACAAAGAAATTCACACAGTACAAAAACGATGCATACACATGCAGCATACAGCAGAGTAAGCATGAAGCCATAAGCCTTACTTATGATACAGTGGAAAAGGTGTTTTAAAGCGCAAGACATGGCTTTAGCTATTCCGTGTTTTGACTAAAGCACACAGCGAGCAAAAAGAAAGACCTGCTTCGTTAACATTAAGTCATGAGTATGAAAGGGAAAAAAAAACAAAAAAAACTTTAACACGTTTTTTTTTTTTTTTTTCTTTTTCTCCACTAGAGGGGAAAAAAAGTCTCTATTTGTACAGGCATACACTTTTAGCAAAACTGTTTTAATACTTTTGGCACTATAGTGCATGTGTGGGTGAATGTAAATCAACATGTATGAGCCTGCTTACAAATCCGTATGCAGGACGCAAAACCGATATGGACAGGCAGAAACTAACTAGGTGAGAGGGACAAGCATAGAAAGTCTTTGTACCGGGATGGAGTCAGAGGGCAGGTCTGATCTTTCACTTATAACATCTAAGCTTTGTCGCCTGTCCTTCCTGGGTTCTGTAAAACAAAATTCACATCAGTTTATATCTGAAGTAAAAACCTTAACAACATGCTCATTCAATAAGTATGGGTCTCCAGGGTGACAGAAATTTTTTAAAAATGGGGCCACACACATAGTTAGTTGATTTGCAGTTGTGACATAATTTTAATTGGTGGGGTGAATAGTGAATAGCACAATCAAGTAACTATGTTACCTTCAGTTGTTATAAAAATTATAGATTTCAAATATAACCCAAAAGAAATTTGACTTTGTAATTTAACACCTTGAAATTGGGCCTCTGTCTCTTTAAGAAAGGACAGTTCTTTAACGCTCTGCCTTCAGGAAGTCATCACAATGTTGTTCATCTATTAACCTTTTAGTAACGTTTTTAACACCACGGCTCTAAGAAGTAGCCAATATAATGAGCTCAGCAAATGTGCAGTTTCATAAGGTGTTTGCTAATTGCTGTTGGCTAGTCTGAAGGAGCCGAGTGGAAGAGTCACAGGGGAGGGCTGTTCTACGAGGCAGAAGCTTGGAAGCTGCAGCTCTGAGGAAGAGCTCCGTCCTAGGTTCCCCCAAGCGTTTTACACAGCTGAATGGTTGCCATGGGAGATTAAAGGATTTCTCAAACATGCATTAAAGAATCAAAGCGGCACTCCAGGTATGTTTTTGATGAGGGAATATCACTATAACATGCTGTGAAGCTAAAAAAAAAAAAAAAAAAAAAAAAAAAAAACTTTTTTAAAAAAAACACCTTTTTTAAAATTTTATTTTTA